TTGTTGTAGTGCGCCAGGCGCGACGCCTCGCCGGCGATGCGCTCGAAGATGTCGTTCACGAAGGAGTTCATGATGCCCATGGCCTTGGACGAGATGCCCGTGTCGGGGTGCACCTGCTTCAGCACCTTGTACACGTAGATGGAGTAGCTCTCCTTGCGGCTCTTCTTGCGCTTCTTGTCGCCTTTCTTCTGCGTCTTGGTCACCGCCTTCTTGGAGCCCTTCTTGGGCGCGGGGGCGGACTTGGCCGGCTCGGGCATGGCAGCAACCGCAGCTCCCTCACTCGCTCTAGACAATACGACCAGCAGCGCACAACAGCGCCTCGGCCTCGGGAGCCGACTTTATAGCAGCGCTGCCGGCAGCGCCGCATCGCGATTGGCTGGTCCTCGGCTCCGCGCAGGGCGCCGGGATTCGCTATTGGACGCGACCCGAGCCGCTCTCCCATTGGCCGTCGAACAAGTCCTCTCTCGCAGCCAATCAGAACGGGCGCTGCCGCTCCGGCCCAGTTGTATATAATGCAGGCGGGGCTCCCGCTCAGCGTTCGCTCGGTGTTCCCGGCTTTCCTGAGCTCGCTGCCGCTGCTGCTGTAGGTGCCGCTGAAGTCGCTGCCATGTCCGGGCGCGGGAAGCAGGGCGGGAAGGCGCGCGCCAAGGCCAAGTCGCGCTCGTCGCGGGCCGGGCTGCAGTTCCCCGTGGGCCGCGTGCACCGGCTGCTGCGCAAGGGCAACTACGCGGAGCGCGTGGGCGCCGGCGCCCCGGTGTACCTGGCGGCCGTGCTGGAGTACCTGACGGCCGAGATCCTGGAGCTGGCGGGCAACGCGGCCCGCGACAACAAGAAGACGCGCATCATCCCCCGCCACCTGCAGCTCGCCATCCGCAACGACGAGGAGCTCAACAAGCTGCTGGGCAAGGTGACCATCGCGCAGGGCGGCGTGCTGCCCAACATCCAGGCCGTGCTGCTGCCCAAGAAGACCGACAGCCACAAGGCTAAAGCCAAGTGAGCACCGAACAACCAAGGCTGCAGACCTTCAACCAGAGAAACCCAAAGGCTCTTTTCAGAGCCACACACTTTTTCCTTAAGGAGCTAAATTGCTAGCTAATAATGCAAAAAACACTAAATGGAATAGCTTATACATTGTTTTCTGTTAGCACCCCTCACTTTGACCATCATTCCTTTATACATGGTATCAGTAATTATTGTATTAATTACCGTTTAAATGGTGGCAAATTGTATTTAAAAATGTTGACCTTGTAACTATTGGAAAGGATTTTTCTAAAGCTGCCATTATCCACAACTCCTTAGACTACAGTATAAATACACCTACTCATGATTTCAGCACTTTTAAAAGAGCATGTGGGTGGCTCTTAAAAGAGCCGTTGGGTTTAAATGCAGAGCAAGACTTCCTCAGTGGCTTTACTTCTTTTTTGGAGCCGCCTTCTTTGCCTTGGCCACTTTTGCCTTTGCAGCTTTCGGCTTGGCTGCCTTCGGCTTTACTGCCTTTGCCTTAGCCGGGCTCTTCGCTGCTGCCGCCACTTTCTTCGGTTTGACCGCCTTTGCTACTTTCTTTGGGCTCTTGGCCGCTTTCCTGGCCGCCGGCTTCTTGGCTTTCTTGGGGCTCTTCGCTGTCACCACCTTCTTGGGCTTCTTGGCGGCGCTGGCAGGCTTCTTAGCCGCAGGCTTTTTGGGCTTCGCTGTAGTTTTCTTTTTGGGGGCTTTTTCCTTCACTTCCCCGGGTTTCTTGCTGAGGCGGAAGGAGCCGGAGGCGCCGGTGCCCTTGGTCTGCACCAGGGTGCCCTTGCTGACGAGGCTCTTGAGCCCCAGCTTGATGCGGCTGTTGTTCTTCTCCACATCGTAGCCGCCGGCGGCCAGCGCCTTCTTGAGCGCGGAAAGGGAGAGCCCCTTGCGCTCCTTGGAGGCGGACACGGCCTTGGTGATGAGCTCGGTGACGCTGGGCCCCGCGGGCTTGCGGGCTTTGGAGCCGCTCGCCGCCTTCTTCGGCTTCTTGGCGGCGGCCTTGGCGGCGGGGGCCGGGGCGGCGGGCGCTGCCTCAGCAGCGGGAGCGGGCGCGCTCTCGGACATGGCGACGCTGCAGGAACACGGCTGCCGCGGCTCTGGAGGCGCCCCCTTTTATAGCAGCGCGGCGGGCGCTGATTGGTCCGCTCCAGAGCCCGCCCCGCCCCCTGCCCCGCTCCCCGCCGCCCGCCCTGTGTTTCTTCCCTGGCACAAAAGTGGATTTTTCTTAAAAAATGCTGCACCGCCGCACCCCCTTTCTGAGCATTCCTGCTGAGGACAGAGAATATTTCTGCCTTGCGGCATTTCTTTCAACCGAGACTTGAAACGAGTTTCAGGCTAGTCAGTAATCCCCGAGTTTGGGGATTGCACGTAGAGCTGGAGCTTAAATTTTTTCTCTCTCCTTTTGAATTAAAACTTTGCTTCTGACACCACCGTCTCAGTGACCTGGGATACACGTCTCCAAGAGGGTTTTTCATCGAGTTGTTGAAAAATGGGGGTAATCTCGAGACTTTCTCTTAGCATAAATTAGCTTTGAAAAGATGCAAGTAACACAAGGTAGTCAGTCGGGTCTGTATCTGGGTTAGGAGTTGTTTTCCATAACGCGACTTCATCTCTTCAAAATAATGAAACCTTTGGACACAGTGTCCTATTTATCTCCAGCAAGACTTGGTAACAAGTAAAAGAAAGGCATTTTTTGCCAGAAACTTTAACCTGAAAAGCAGCTCTCTTAAATAATTAGCTATCTTTAAAGCCCCAGAATAACATATATAAGTTGCTTCTCTGTCCCCCTGGGTTTTCTATGCCTTTGTATTAATATTTTAATGAACTATATTCCAAATTTTTCCCCAAAATGCTTCTTTTCTCACTGCACAGTAGGCAAACATTCATTTGTATGTTCTCATCTAAAGGTAGTGTTTATTTTTTTGCTTACTTTTACATTATTATTCAGGAATTTTGCCAGCCACAATCAGCAGTTTTACAAAAAGAAAAGCAAGATAAAATCATGTTTTATTTAAAACTAAAAACATGTTTTTCTGATGAAAAAACAGATGTAAAGCTGCAGGCATTTCTTTAATAAAATAATATCATTCAAGTGACTTAAGCAAACAATTTTCTCTTCACACCTGCCGAGAGAAGCAATGGCTTGGCTTTTTTCAATGTGTGACTATTGTGATGTGGGATAAATTGAATAGACATAAAAAGGATTTTTTCTTGAGATGAGTTTGATAATAACTGGACAGAAATGTTGGAATATTTGTAGGACACTGTGGGAAAGAATCAGAGTCCTAGGTGATTGATTCATGTGATTGTAAATGTAGTTTTTTGGCTTCTTTCACTTTATCTTTTGATAATAAAATATCGTACACTGTCTTGTGAAATTTTGATGATGGTGGAGTCAGGTTTATGAACATCTCAGTGGTACTAGATTATCTTGACTGGGATATACTTAAAGACAGTCAAGAGATGTGGTGGCATTTCAGAGAGGGTTTTTTCGAGGGAGGACAACCAGTAGAATAACATCATGTGGGAGAGGATAAAACCAGAAGATGGTGTGGATTTGTTTTTGTCCTGATGCTATATTTTGTGGTAGTTTCACCTCCTGAATCAACTGTGAATTTCAGTTGTCAACTACATTTGCACAAAAGTGAATCTCTTGGGAAGGATACACACCACTGGGGAGAGGTTTCTGGGTGATAATTCTGTAGCATACATATTTCCATCAAATTCTGTATCTTAATACATTCCAATCACTCAGAGTCTCTAGTTCCTTTACCATTAAATTCTTTTGAACCTTTGCAAATGTATTTTCCTGAATTTAGGCTAGGCCTCTATGCTACTTCCAAACACCTGATGTAGCAGCACACTCCTGGAGCACTCCATGTGCTCTCCTAAAAGCTCCTTTTCCGGTCTTCCAAAACTTTGGCTACCTATCTGGACTTTTAAAATTTTGTTTTTCACAACCATATACAGTTAATTTTAGGCTAAGCAAAGAAGGAAGTGGAAAGAGATCTTGCAAAGGTTTTCAGGTAGAGGAGGGAGGGAGAAATAAGTTTAATTCCTTTAATTAATGGGTGAACTTACTTAAAAAAAATAAATCATTGCTTCAAATATTATGATGTGCTCAGTAAAAACAAAATTATATCTTTCTTCGATTTTCCCCTTTAAAAAACTTGTCAAGCTAACAGACCATTTACTAAATACCAATTGGTCTTGGGCTGATTGATTGAAAGATCAGGAGCACAGGTAGTGATTTCCTTGATCCTTCTGGTAACAGTATAGATTTAAATAAAGTGGACAGAGATATTTGGAAGTGCTGGACCAGGAGGAAGCTTCCTTCTCCTTCTGAAAACGTAACAAGTAGAACTGGCACCTTCTACAACAGGAATCAGGCCCTGGAAATAGAAGGCCAGACAACTGATGAGGTGAGCCCTTCTGGGATAGAGGGGCCCCCTAAGCCAACACCATCTGTACCCCACATCAAGACCTCCTCTGTCTTGAGGAAAAGAAGGGTAATTGCAATCAGACACTCCCTTCTGCAGGGAGCCAAGGGCCTGGTATGTCAGCCTGACTGGTTTTCACACATCAGGCACAAAGAGTTAGAGTGACTGGGGTAACATCAGGCTGTCAGCATTGGGGTTTAGCAGGGCTCCACCCTCACCCAATTCTCCACATCTTCATTAGCAACTTGGATGCAGGGCTTAAAGGAATACTAAGTTGGCCATTGACACTAAGCTGGGAAGAGCTGTCAGCTCCCTTGAGTTCAGAGAGGCCCTGCAGAGAGATCTTGGCAAATTAGAGACATGGGCAATAACAAACCATATGAAGTTTAATAAGGGCAAGTGCTGGAATCTGCACCTGAGACAGGGCAATCCTGGTTCTGTGTGCAGACTGAGGAATGAGAGGCTGGAGAGCAGTGCCATGTAAAGGGACCTGGGTATCCTGGTCGATGGCAAGTTGAACATGAGCCAGCAGTGCCCTGGAAGCCAGGAGGGCCAATCCTGTCCTGGGGGGCATCAGGCACAGCATCACCAGCTGGGCAAGGGAGGGGATTGTCCCCTCTGCTGTGCACTGGTTGGCCTCACCACAAGAGCTGTGCACAGTTTTGGTACCAGAGTATAAAAAAGACATTAAGTGATTAGAGAGCATCTGTAGAAGGGCCACAAGGATAGTGAAGGGTCTGGAGGGGAAGCCGTATGAGAAGCAACTGAGGTCACTTGGTCAGTTCAGCCTGGGGAGACTGAGGAGCGACCTCATCATCACAGTCTGCAGCTCCCTCAAGAGGGGAAGAGGAGAGGCAAGCACTGATCTCTTCACTCTTGTGACCAGTGACAGGACTCTAAGAAATGCCATGAAGCTGAGTCAGGGGAGGTTTAGGTTGGATGTCAGGAAAAATGCTTTTCACCCAGAGAGTGTTTGGGCACTGGAGCAGGCTCCCCAGGGCAGTGGTCACAGCACCAGCCTGACAGAGCTCAAGAAGCATTTGGACAACACACTCAGGCACAGGGTGTGACTCCTGGGGTGTCCTGCACATGGCCAGTAGTTGGACTTGATGGTGCTGATGGGTCCCATCCAACTCAGCATATTTTATGATGCTATGATTCTATGAAAGTTTTCCAAAGTTCAGTCAGGAATTCAAGAACTTCCTTTTCTCCTATTCTGGTATGGATAGGTGCTTTCAGGAAGGTCCTTCCTATGGTTCCTATGATTTGGTGCACTATGGAGTCACACCATGATTTGTGTTGGAAGGGTCCTTCAAAGATTATCTAGGCCATGTCATGGGCAAGGACATCTTTCACTAAACCAGGTTGCTCAAAGACTTATCCCGTGTGGCTTTGAAATCTTCCACTGAAGGCATTAACAACTTCTCTCGGCATCTTGTTCCAGTGTGTCCCAACACCTTCATAATGAAAAATTTCTTCCTTGGAACTTATCTAAATCTAACTTCTTTCACTTCTAAAACTTTTCTCTTGCCCTGTCACTGCAGGCCTTGGTGAAAGGTCTTTCTCTGTCTTATAAGTGCTCTTCAAGTATTGAAATGCCACACTGAGGTCTACCCAGAGCCTTGTCTTCTCCAGACCTAATATCCACCACTCTCCCAGCTTTTCCTCATGGGAGAGGTGTTCTAGCTCCCTGATCATTTTCACGGCCTTCCTGTGGACTTCCTCCAAGTCTTTCTTGTACTGGGGACCCCAGAGGTAGATGCAATACTCCAGGTGAGGTCTCATTAGTGGTGTGAATGAAGAGAATCACTTCCTTTAACTGCTAGCTGTGCTGTTTTTTTGTGTGGCCCAGGATACAACTGGCTTTCTGAGCAGCAAATGCACATTGCCACCTCATGCCCAAATACACCACCCATATTTCTGAGTCTTTCTGTGCAGGGCTTCTTGTAATCAGTTCATCCTGCAGTCTGTACTGATATTTGGTATGGCCCTGACCTGAGTGCAGGGCCATGCATTTGACATTGTCAAGCTTCACGACGTCCACATGGGTCCATTTCTCAAGCCTGTCCAGGTCCCTCTTCATGGTGTCCCTTCCCTCCAGTGAATCAACGGCACCACGGAGCACGGTGTTACCCACAAACTTACAGAGGGTGCACTGGATCCCACAACATTACTGATATCTGTATTGTAACTACATCTGCTAATTCCCTGAAGACCCTGGGATGAATCCCCTTAGGTGCCATGGATTTGTGTATATTCAGGTTCCTCAGACGGTCTTGAACCTGATCTTTTCTTACAGCGGGGGAAGGACTTTGTTCCCCTGGTTTATGCCTTGAGTTTCACAGACTTAAGAGATGAGAAAGACAGACTGCCAGTGAAAAGTGAGGCAAAAAAATTTGTTGGGTACCTCAGTCTTCTCTATGCCAGTAGTCACTAAATCTCCTGTCTTTTTTATTTGGGGGCCCATTTTACTTGGTCCTCCTTTTCTGATCAGTGTACCTACAGAAGCCCTCATTATTCTTCACACCCCTTGCCCCATTCAGTTACAGATGTACTTCAGCTTTTCGGATTCCACCCCTACACACCTGGACAGCACCCTATATTCATCCCAGGGTGTGTGTCCCT